GTCTCTGTCTCTGTCTCCTTTCATCGCCTGATGAAGGTTAATATTCAGGAGGATGCCTATATGTTTTTCTTTGGGTTCTCCTTCTTATTTAGCTTCTCTAAGAACCCGAATTATAGGCTCAATGTCCTTTATTTATGGCTAGAAACCAAATATGAGTGAGTACATCCCATGTTCTTCTTTTTGGGTCTGGCTTACCTCACTCAGGATAGTGTTTTCTATTTCCATCCATTTGCCTATTACCCTGCTTTTAAAAAGGATGCTGAACCTGGCCGATGGTTCAGCTGATAAAGATGCCTCACATCAAGCCTGAAGACTTGAGTTAGATCCTCCAGACCTGCATGGTGGGAAGAGCCAATTCCCACAAACTGTCCTCTGGCCTTCCCATGAGCCTGCTACAACACAGGCATGAACATAAACAAAATGTAACCAAAGGTTATTAGTTGTTTAAGATTTATTTTTTGCTACTTTTAATTACATATAGGAGGAGGTGTGTGTGTGCACATGCGTGCAGGTGCCTTCAGAGGCCAGTGGCATCAGGCCCTTCAGGAGTCGCAGGCTGCTGGGAGACACCAGCGTGAACGCTGGGGACAGCACTTGGGTCCTTTGTAAACTCAGTGCCATCTCTTCAGTACCAGGTGTTGTTTAATTAAAAATAAATAAAAAGAATGTTGGAATGTAAATGTGGCAGCTCAGACGTGTAATCTCAGTACTTGCGAGGTCGAGGCAGGAAGCCAGCCTTGGCTAATGCATGAAGATGCTGTCTCAACACCACAGAACAAAACAAAATAAGGTAAACAAATAACCACCAGAACCAAAGCTAGACTTTAATCCCAGTGCCCAGGAAGCAGAGGCAGGCAGACTCTCAGAGTTTAAGGCCAGCCTGGTCTACATAGCAGTTCAAAGACAGCTGGGACCACACAGAAAAACCCTGTCTCCAAAACAATGAAACAAAAGGGAAACAAAAAATAACAACAGCAAAAACCCAGGTTTGGTGGCAGAATGCCTGTAATTCCAGCACTGATGGGCAGAGACAGGAAGTCCACTGTAAATTCAAGGCTAACACAGTGAGTTCCAAGTCAGCTGGGGCTACAAAGAGAAACCCTGCTTCTACAAAATCAATCCATCATCAATCAATCAATGTAAATAAAGACGTTTTAAAGAGTCAGATGTTTATTTATGAATTGCTGAGTAACACAAACTATCTATGAATATTACAGAGTGAAACGACCTCTCCTGAGCCTGTGTCGTCTCTAACAAGCTTAAAAGGCTGAATTTATATACCTACAGACAGACATCAAAATTCCAGGATTGCTTCTGCATGACAGAAAACTGATGGTTTCTATCTTCTTCCTTATGTTTTTCTGTACCTTCCCCCAAACTGCTGTGGTTTGCTACAGTTTCTCATAATTCCTTTGCTTTTCATTGATGCATCCCCTTTATATTTTGTGAACTGAAAAAAGAAAAGGATGTTAGGTGGCGGGGTTTCAAGCTGGTAATCTCACCATTTGGGAGGCTGAGGCAGGAGGACCTCCAAGTGTTCAAAACTAGCCTAGATTATAGAGATAGAGCGTCTCAAAAAGGATGGGAGTGGCTGGGCTGTGGTGGTGCACGCCTTTAATCCAAGCACTCCGTGGGGGAGTTCCGAGGGCAGCCTGGTCTACAGAGCAAGTTACAGGACAGCCAGAGCTACTGAGTAGAAAAAAAAAAAAAAAAAAAGCAAAACAAAAAAAGGATCAGAGTAGTGGCGATGTGGGTAGTGATTCCAGTCTTCGAATTCTTCATTCTGATCTGGATGAGCGGTGAAGCTCTTCTCGCTCTATTCACCCAAACAAGGGAGAAAAGATTAGGCATCGACAGGACGCGCGGAAGTTGGGACGGTCTACTTTCTTCTTTCAGTCTGCCTTTGCTCCCCTCACCTGGAGCTACCAGGGGCGCTGGGCTCGGGGCGGCCCCGCGGGCCTTTTGCCGGTTGGATAGCGCCGTGGGCGCGAGGGCGGCACCAGGGTCAGCTGTTCCGCGTCCGCCCCGCCCAGTGCCCGGGTCCTATAAGGGTCACCCCAGCCTCCCTAGCGTCGGAGTCCGGCGTGCGCAGCGACCGGCAGTGCAGAGAATGGCTTTGAACACCAACCTCCGGGTGCGGCTGCCCGTCATCTGCCTGGTCCTGCAGGTGGTGATGGTGGTTCTCTTCGGCGTGTTCGTGCGCTACGACGTCCAGGCGGATGCCCGCTGGTGGTTGGAGAAGAAGCTCAAGAACATCTCAAGCGACATTGAGAACGACTTTTACTATCGCTACTCAAGTAAGTCCTATGGCTGGCAGTCTCACCTGTAGAGTCTCCCGGTGGTTCCCATTGGACAACCGCCTGACTGCTCTCCGCTTTAGGTCTGCCTCTGCCTCTGGAACAGGATGGAGATGAAGGGGCGATACTGCCCCACAGTCCCGAGCAGGCCCCAGAGGAGGCTCCGCACCAGGGCACTCTCCTACCTCAGCCTGGGAGAAGTGGCCATAGGTGCTCACACTTGCTATGGAAATCTGATTATGAGCACTCACCTGGGAGAGGTGGGCTGCCTTTTTTTTTTTTTTTTTTTTTTTTTGATGTTTGGTTAGTTTGGGTTGTTTTACTTTTTATTTAACTTTCATCTCTCCCAACCATCAGAGGCTCCTATGTCCCTGTCCTTCTTGGTCCTCAAAAGCCATAGTTCCACCTCCATCAACCAACCAGCAGATGACCTGGCTCCCATACACTTCAAATAGGGGTTTGGTCCAATGTCAGTGGTCACAAGGATGGCATGATGACCCTCCACTTTTGTTATGGAGACAGGTTTCGTGGGCCACAGGTGGTGTTGGGCCAGGAGGTCATAACACCCACCCTCTTTGGCTTTGGAGAAAAAGCTGGACACCCTTCCCTGCCCTGGGATTGTCTGCATCCATGATATTGTGGTTAAGAATGTGACTATGGAGGCTGGAGAGATGGCTCAACAGTTAAGGGCGCTGGATACTTTTCCAGAGGACGGGGTTTTGATTCCTAGCACGGATGTGGTGGCTCACAACCATTTATAACTGCAGTTCCAGGGAATCTGATGACTTCTTCTGCCTTCTGTGGGCACCAGACACACATGTGGCACACAGACGCTCATGCAGGCAAAGCCCTCATACACATCGAAAAGAAAAAAAGATGATGAAGAAGGATATGGTCCTGGAATGACATAGGTTTTTTTTTTTTCTATCATGGCCCTGCTGCTTTGGGGGTGCTCTCAAGCAGATGACAATCATAAAGGACCCTAACTTCCTTCTCTCCTGACTAGGGGTGCTGGTGGGAGCCACCGCACAGGAGGGGTGTGAAGAAGTACGGGGAGTGTGACCCTCGCTTTATAACAAAGCCATCAACCCCAAGAGCACTAAACACAGGCACCCTGAGAACTTCAGGCATCTCTGAGGGCACGGAGAACTAGCCCAAGGTCACCCCAGGCAGCCTGACCTTGGACTGCCAGCCCAGGGTCTGCCAGTGCCCTTGTGCTTTCTGAACTGCCACGCTGTCTACCGGCAACCGGTGACAATTCTTCTAACAGCCGGCGCTCATGTGGTCATGGGCCATTGGTTTTTGGGGGGACCCTGAAGCTCTTCTCCAACAGCTGCTACGTCAACCTCCGTTCCCTCTGCAGCTTGTTTGCTCAGCGGCAGGGCATCCTCTGTGTCTGGAAATCAAGGGGCCCCGGGTCAGGGCTGTGTGCTTCAAAAGAGGTCTTGACAGCTGTGGCTTCAGAATTCACAGGGTAAATCGCCCGAACCTTCCTCTTCTGTGTGGGGACTTGGCAGGCAAAGGGGAAGCAGGTGAGCTTAGGATTCATCCTTGACTTATTCCGTCTCGTCTTGCTCACATCTGGGCACCAGAGCCAGCCCTATAGAAAAGTACAAGGGAAAGGCTTCCTTTTGTGGGCATTTGTAGCTCTTGGGCTGGCAGCACAGGGCATCGAGACCCCACAGGAAGCTATAGAACCTCACACCTCCTAAGAAGGGGTGCAGTCCTCAGTCTCCCCAACTCCTATACTGTCCCTCTTCACCCAGCCACCTGTCTTCTTTCCATTACCCCGTAAGTGTTTATCTAGAGGGTGTTGGCCGCAATAAGTTGGGAGCAAGACATAAACCCTGACTGTTCCAGTGAATTAAGATTTATGGTCACTCTAGACAAACGAGTTGTATATCCTCTGCTCCTCAAGGACTCCTAGATTTATTTGGAACAGAGCGCTGCATGCTAAAACACCCAAGGCCAGGGGTGTTGAGCTCCGAGCAGGCAGTCTGTCTCCGACAATGAGGAGAGATCAGGGCAGCCAAAGGACCTCTGAACGAGAAGCCTAGGAAGAGGGATGAGAGGTTAGGAATGGCCTAAGAGAAGGACTCGGAGAGAGAAGGGGGGAAATGCTGAGGGAGAAGGAAACCCTAAACACCAAGGATGCCCCCCCAGTTGCCCTTGTCTCTAACTCCATGGGAAGTGGGAGGGAGCCATGTTCCTTGGCAAGCACAGGAAGTGCTGTGGTGGCTGAAACAGCTCCAGTCAAGCATGGGATCTCTCCTTGGTCATCACTACCAACCCTCAAGGGGAGATGTTGCTACTCTCCCACACACCCCATTTCACAGATGAGAAAACTGAACATATGGTAGGCGTGTCTCACACAGGTCACCCAATAAGAAACCAGGAATCCAGGCGGTTACTCTGGGGTCTGAGCCTATCCTCTTGGTGACTCTCCCATCCCACATCTCATCCTTTGCCTCTCCCCAGCACAGGTCTTTGAGTTGCTAGATCATGGTGACTGTGGTTAGACTCTAAGGAGCATAAAGCTCCCTGGCCAGGTGCATGTCCAGGCCCTGGTTTCTGTATGACCAGGTAATTCCAAAGGGTGGGCCCCTGTGGTTCTCCTAGTTCTTGGCTTGTAGACATCAGCACCCATTCAGGGCGTGCTGTGGTAGCTTTATCCCTACTCAAGGGATCAGTGGAACCTGCCAGGTGTCTCTGGTTTCTGGAGCAGGTCAGCACCAGGGGCCTGAAATCAGCATCCCCGGCCACAGCCCCTCGCAGGCAGCCGACACAGCGCTAGCTGGGAACCTACCCTCCTGCTCTTGGAGATCTGAAGCGCCACGTCAGTCGCTGAACGTGAAGCCTCCTCCTAGCTGCTGTCGCAGCCTCAGTGACCATGAGCTCTAACAATGAAAGCTGGGTCAAGGAGGGTTACCAGGTCCTGACCCCAGAAGCTTTCCGGAGACCCTGAGGGAGGTCAAGACGTGTTAGGAAAGGGCCTGAAGTCGAGGATGCCCAGATTTCCCACGACTCAGAGCCTGTCTCCTGAGGCCAGAGCCTCCAGACTCGCCTGGTCTTCTATGGACGTATTCATCAGACTCGGTTTCATCCATCAGAACTCATTTAGCCAGAGAAGGCGGCAGCATAGCCTGAGGATGAGCCTCTCAGTGAAACATCTGGGTCAAATCCCTCACCTGGCGACCTGACCTTGAGCCTCAGACTGCCTCTCTGTAGGGCAGGACTGTGCTGTAAAGTAGAGAGTATCTAAGAGGAGCCAAGGCTCTCAGGGTGCCGTTTCCTAGTACCTGCAGAGACCAAAGGGTTTAGATCCCGTGGAACTGGAGTCACAAATGATTATGAGCCATCATTCCATCACTTGGGTCCTGGGAATTGAACCCTGGTCCCCTGCGAGAGCAGCCAGTATGCTGTATTCTTGAGAATATGGCGGAGAATGCCCGTTGGTGCTCGCCTAGGTGTTAAGAATGCCCTGGCGGTCAGCACGGGCACAGCACATCTTCCTGCAGCTTTCTGGTCTAGAAGATTACACAAACAAGCAAACATACAACTTCACTTTGTAATGGGATCGGGAAGGAAATGAGGGTACCAGGAGGGGACAGCCTGCTTTAACGTAGGTGATCACAGCTATGTGTAGTGACACACAGCTTTAATCCCAGCACTCAGGAGGCAGAAGCAGGTGAATCTCTGTGAGTTGGAGGCCAGCCTGGTCTACATGGTGAGTTCCAGGACAACTACAAACTGAGACCTTCTTAAGAAAAAAATAAGTATGTGGTCAGAAAGCTTCTCAGTGAGGGGACATTATTTTGAGAGAGGCGTTTGCTGGCCATTCTGTAACAGTAATTCTGTAACAGTCCTCTAGTAAAGGAAACACCAAAGCCCTGCAATGGGACTGGGAACCAGAGGGAAGCAGGTGGCCTGGCAAGTCCCTGGAGCTGACTTTTCTTTCTCTTTCAACGTTTTCTTTGGAAATAATTTTAAATTTACAGACGCTGCAAAAATGGAGAGAATTCAGAGAGACACAGTATGCTGCAATATACTTTATTTCAGATGCAGGCATTGCTCTTTCTCCAGACACACACACACACACACACACACACACACACACAGCATGCATACACACACACTCATACACACTCGCACACAGCATACATTCACACACACAGCCTACATTTACACATACACATGGCTTACATTCACACACACACTCACACACACTCTCACACACACTCACACACACTCGCACACAGCATACATTCACATACACAGCCTACATTTACACATACACATGGCTTACATTCACACACACACTCACACACACTCTCACACACACTCACACATACAGCATACATTCACACACACACTCACACACACAGCA